GGACACTCCTTAATTCTTTGCCACAGTCCCACATACTTTCTAAATCCCCTTTGGCAAAAAAAAAACCTTATTATTTTATTTTAAAAATCTATATAAATTCCTTAAATTTTCCCTCAAAAACTACCACCACTCCCAACAAAATCTTCTTCAAAGGAGACAGAGCTTGCAGAACCATGACCCTATCAAGAGAAGAGAACATTTGCTATGCTCCGTTTCCCATGGCAGAGTCTAGGTCACATCATTATTTTCCAATTTTATTAATTTTCATTTTTATTGACGTATAAGTTACAAACAAAATATTGCATAGATTTAGGATGCATACATGTTTATATCTAAGTTGTGGAATGATCACCATAATGAACCTTATTAACAGATCTGCACCTCACATTGATACTAACTTTGTGTATATGTGGACGAGTGTGTAAAGTGAGAACACCTAGGATGAACTGTTAGCAGTCCTTGAGTATACAATACATATTCTTACATAGAGCTGACATCATATGCATGAACTCAACAAAACATAGCCTGAATAATCGAGCATGTACCACTGGTCAGCATCTCCCCATCTCTCTTATCTTGGTGACCATTAATTTATGCTCTGCATTTCTGAGTTCTACTTTTATTAGATTCTACACATATGTCAGACCACACTGTATTTATATCTTGCAGATTTCAGTAAGCATAATATCCAGATTCATACAAGTTACAAATGGCAGGGTTTTCTTCCTTTTTAAGGTTAAATAATACTTCATTGTTTTATTATCTAATAATCCATTTATGACACTTAGTGGCACCTGCATCCACCCAGAAAAGATACTGATTTAATTTTCTTTGACTATAGGGATTATGGACCTTATAATAATTATATTATATATTATATATATTATATAATAATAATATTTCCTACTAATAATATTTCCTACTAAAGATCAGTTCCTGTTGCCTTTGGGCATTTGTTATTTTCTTACTATCTTTATTTCCCAGACACAGGGGAAGATCATCCTGTGTCTGACCCTCTCAACATGATACTTGCCAGGTCCATCCAAGAAGGAGCAAATTGAATGATTTCCATCTTTTCTTATAGCCCAGCAGTATTCCATTCTGTATATATGTCATACTACATTTTCATGTTCCTAACTGTCCAGGTGCAGAATTTCCAGTCCAACTTAAACTTTTATTGAGTTCTCCTTACTATCAGTTGCTAAGTTCCTTACCTCGAAAATTTCTCTCAAATATTTTCCCTTCCCATTTTTCCCCTCCTATTTCTTATGGTTTGGGGGTCCAAACTAGCAAGGTTTGGGATTTATTCCTTCCTGACTCTGTGATCAGGGTTCACTGTGGTGGTACTGTGGGACCATAAGTAATATTGGGGGTGGAATGCTGAGGACTGGCAATTGCTTTAACCCTGTACTATCTCTCCATCCCCTACTATTTCCCATTTCTATAATCACTAACTTGTATAAGACAAAGAGTGGACTTACAATGAGGAACACTCAACTTAACACCCAACTCAAGGAACACTCAACTCAACACTCCTTATCTTCTCATTTTTCTCAGCACAATCTTTATTGTTGGGAGGAGGACTTGGCGAGACAACACTTGGGTGCAGGGTTTACTCTGGTTCTGCACTGGAGAGCTAGGGGAGATAATGCAATACTGTACAATATGCAATTCCCTCAAACATTGTATATTCTACATAATATTGTATAGAATATACAATGTTGGAGATCGAAATTGGCTTGGTCTTACCTGCCTTACTATCTCTTTGCCCTTGAAATCTAAAATACACATCCTATTCAGTAGTCTCCTCCTCTAGAAAATGATAATTAAACTTACCTATGAGGCGAAATACATAATTGTGTTCCTTGTCAAGCCTTCCAATTTCATCTCTCATACTTTACTACACAAATTATATTCCAGTAAAACTGTACTATTTGAAAATCTCAGATATGCTTTTTACCTCTTCAGTAAAAATTCTGTAGAAGAGGATGCCTTGGGCTGAGACAACAGCTAGGACATAAAAGAACTGTTTGTCTTTTTTATATATATAAAATAACTCCCCTTTATCCCTCAGGAAGATCTTGACTAAAAAAGAATCACATCACTGGTAATTATATTCATGACCATCATTCATTCATAAACCTCATTCTCCAAGATTTGCAAAGGAGACATCCCCAATCTCGAATTTGGTTAAAATGAGAAATATCCTACTCAAACTATATAAATTTATTAGAAAACATATTTTCATTTCACTCTCATTCCATTATGTCTAGATTAATCCGAGATAAAAGATAGGAAGCTTTCATTTGTCAGAGTTCAAAAACACAGATTTCTTAGCAATGGTGTTAAAGATAAAATTCAAAAGACTGGGAAAAACCTGTGAGTTGGGAAACACATAAGACTATTCCTAGGGAGACACTCAGGAAAATAGATTTATACATCTTCTTCTTAATCAAGATACTAAGATTTTTAAACACACACTACTAACATGGTGACAGAGATCTCATTAATGTTGCAGTAAGAGAACCAAATGTTACAAAACTAATAAATTTTCATTAGAATCAGCAGATCACTTTAAAATGGGTTAAGTTGTGACCATTTGCCATTCCATTAATATCATTGTCATGTAAAAGGCTTAATTTTCAGCTATTTTTGTTCTAGATAAAATCTTTGTCATTAAAATGAGGAATGATTTTGATATTTAATATATTCTATGGCAGACTCAAGTGTGGTACTAAATTGGCCTTTTCAGCATTCTGCATATTAATTGACAATCTATCCCTCCTCTATTCCCTGGATAAGTGAGAACTGAAATATAGTGGATAGCAATAGAGTTATAGAACAGGAAATGGATCGACAGAGAGAAAAAATATGTTGCTCTAATCAGGAACATACACAAGGCACTAAAATTATTTTCTCCCATACTAATGACTAAGATAGAAACAAGAATAATGAATGACACCATCTGAATCACTTTATGTGACAGTACTGCTAAAGTATAGCAATACGCCCTCAAAAGCAAAACTCTTACTTTTAGGCAAAATAATAAAACTGATCTCACTTGACTTTTAGAGTAATGTATTTTATCAAAGTTGGCAACAATTGGCAAATTATATCCTCTATTGAATTTTTATAGTAATCTTTTTCATGCACACACACAAAAAAAAGTGTCCTGTAACTGAAGAATGTACAGGATCACTGTAGAAAACTTTTCATTTCAATACATACTCTATTGGTTTCCTTCTCATTGAATTATCGCTCTAGTGAGAACTGACATTACCTGCTTCAATAATGTATTAACCTTGCCTTCTGAAGCTGCTGTTGAGTGGATATTTCCTCTAAGGGAAAACTTGGGATTCTTATCCAAGAACAAAATACAATTTGCCATCATTTAAATTTCAATTGGCCTGCAGAATGATTTTAATAGCAACAGTGATGAGACTTAAAATTCCAAAGATTATAAAATTATGGGCACATAAAACAGGTTGAAATAATTTTCCAATTAAATAAATTAATTCCATCTGTAAAGCAAGATCAGGTTTCCTAATTTTTTATTTTAATTTTTTATTTAAATTTTAATAGCACAAAAACAAATGTAAAACATACTAAAATGTGTATAACATTAATATATTATACACATTTAATATATGTTACATATATTACATATAATATATAATGTATGTAACATATATGTCTGTACATATATGTTACATATTAGATGTATATAATATATTTCTATGCCCTACTGTGTGGAAAGAACATATACCAAGTCCTTCACCTCTTTCAAGAGGAAATTTTGCTCCAATAACTTCACATATTTTCTTTTAGCTAATTACAACATAAGACCAAGTCACTCTCAAAATCCTTTCCTGAGTTGAAATCAGAAACAAGCAACAAGCTGTGGTAAAGCAACAAGCTAAGTTTTCCTTCCCGTTTTAAATTTTTATTTAAATTTAAATTTTAAATTTCTCAAAAACAAATTCCCTCCAATATCAATAGACACTCTGATTTTTTTCACCATTACTACTCATAGAGAAAAACATTTAAGTTTAATTAATTTTTTAAAAATATTTGTACTTGTTAAATTATCATAACATGTCACTTTTTTAAAGTGATACCATTGACAAATCAGCCATAAGATTTGCACAGACACAGGAGCATAGTATATTGGGTAAGGTGCTTGCCTTGCACAAGCAGTGAGAACATCCCCTATGGTCTCTTATGCACCCCCAGGGTAACCCCTGAGCATTGCCAGATGTGGTCCAAAAACAAAAAAGAAAAAGAAAATATCCACACACTTATTTGGTTCTGATCTTGTTCATCTTTGCTCCAAATAAAAAAGCATTCACATGCTCATGGCTGGACATAGATAAGGTAAAATGCTTGCAGGAAGTTGGACAAGAATCTTGAAAAGGGCCAGGGATGCAGTTGATCAACATTTGTTCTAATTAATTTTTCAGTTTGTCCTTCATCTCACTGAAGCTTTAAGTGGAGGATAAGAAAAAAATTCAAAAAGTCAAATATGACAATAAAAATATCACTTAAAGTATAGCCTTGGGGGCTACTTAAGTATTGTTTTAAAATGATTACCCATCTTAATCCCTATAGAGTGGGATATTAAATTCCACTGCCTTTTTTTTTAATTTAATGACTTGCTAATGTAAACTTCCATCTAGAACAATCAAACAGTATGTCATTTATTCACATTTACAGTGGCTCTAATGTGCCAGCAAACTCCCTCGTCAAAACAGACAACTTTAAAAAATGCTTGCCTCAGTCAGGAGCTCTATTTCCTAAATTAGCAGTCAAGTGTCACCTTGATAGACCATGAACAACAAAATCATTTATAACAAATCCAGCTTCCCCTGAGAGTGGACATCCTAGGTCATTCATCTGTAGGAGCTCTAATTATTCCACACAGACCCCAGAGCAATTGGAGAGGCTCAGAATTTCACAACCTGTCATGTCCAAATCCAATCATCTGATAAATACACACTTACCAATCTCCCTCGAGATCTGAGTGAAGGCCTCCACACCACTCTCTCCGTAGTTGCCTTCGGATGCCAGTGTTGACACATAATTCCATCCCAATTCGGTCACAATGTCCACCATGGCTTGAGCTTGGTAGGAGTCAGGTGGAACCACCCGAGAGAAGAAGTCATACCTGGTGTTATCACTAAGCTCTGGGGCTGTGGATGCATAGCTGATTTGAGGTATCTGCAAAACAAAGAGCAGGTCACTTCACCCATGAGAAACTGGTGGAATGATGAATTCTCACAAGAGACTAAATAGCCAATGTTCTACAGGTTTCCCCCAATATCCAAGAGAAGAGCATTCCTGAACAGGAGATGCAGAGCATCTTTAGGGTCTGGCAAAGCTCAAAACTTTTCCCATATAAATTAAGGCAACAGTTTTCCCAGACACTCAGAGTAATCTATTGCATCATACAAAATGGGAACATTCTACTTTTGAATCGCAAACCTACACATATTAGCCGGAAGCCAAAATATGGTTTTATGATCAAGAGTTTAATTAGAAAGTATTTTGTGAGAATCTACAGACTCATTTCCTTTGAAAGCTCATTTCTAAAGAAACAAAACATGAAAAAAGGGTAGTTCTGTTTCAAGTTTCATAATTGCTAAAGCCAAAGCAAAACATTTGTGCTTTGTATTGTTGTTGCTCTTTTAGTCTATACATGATTGGTTCTGGTGCAGAAATGAAGGTACAGAACACGCGTGCATAAGAAAGGTCACCTCTGAAAATGTTTTTGGCCTGAGGACATAAATACTATATAATGAGAACAGAGAATTAGTATAAGACTTTTTACATTTTGATTCTATTTTCAGTCTTAGAATTATATTTACGGTAAATTACTTTAAATGTATAGTTTTATAAGTCTAGTCACCATTAATAGATGTAATCCAAAAAATATTTGGAATAAACAGCCATGTATCTTCTAATAAAAACATCTTTCTATTTTCCCACATCCCCCATTACCAAACAGAAATCTATATCAACATCTTTAGGAATAGAAACTATTTTCTGATGAAAATAAAGGGGATTACTAGATTTTTTAAATTAGAAATCTTTATCTTGTTTCTCCTAAATAAATTTGAAAGGAATAACAAACTATAGAGCAAAATTTTCTCTCTAAAAGCTCTTTACAATGTTATATTCACTCATATATCTAAATGAAGATGCTTATGCCACCAGTGAAATGTACAACAATGAAAACTACACAAGAAGAATGCTAAAGAAGTACAGTGAAGAGACATACAGAATAAAGTCCCTGAAGATGAAGGATGTCTGACAAACAAGGCAGGGAAAGGACATTTCATTTCAAAGAAACTGCACATCTGAACACTAGGAGTCAAGGAAAAGCATAGCAGATTCCAGAACTACAGTTTTCCCATGGAAGGAACATAGGATATCAAGGAAAGATGTCACTAAATAACACTACAGAGCCAGAAAGAAACCAGATGACAAAGGGCTAGCTAGTCTAGTGTTACAAAGGAGTGTGAATTTTATCATCAAGAGCATGGGAAGCCCACAATGACGGTAACTAAAGGAGTGACATAATCCAAATTTTGTTTTAGAAAGATACCATTGGCCTCAATGGGGAGAATAGCAGCCCTGAAATTTCACTATGCACCCAGGTAACATAATTCCTGAAAATTCTGACTCATTCTGTAGAGTCAGATGTAGATGAACCTATCCCATGCCTAGAGATAATTAAAGAGAGAAATAAAGGGAAGCCGTGCTCAATGCAAGACAACCCACCAGAAAACTATAAAAGAAACCCAAGTAAGAAATTGTGGGAAGTGAACTAAGATATTGGGAGGGTGGGAAAGGAAGGACCTAGAACCAATGACTCTAAAAAAAAAGTTCGGCAAATAACAGATGATGAGAAATGAGGGCTGATTACCTAGCTCTGGTACATGGAAATATGACATTTTCTATTCACCAAAGTAGACAGGAATAAGAGAAGGAGAAGGGGAAAAAGAAGGAAGGAGAGATTTGACTGTGCCATCAAAAAATGCTATGGCTATTTGCCTGAGACTGTATCTGACATGTGCTTTATAAAATGAGCTAACTCCCCAATCCCAGTGATTTGAGCCTTTCAACTGCTTCTTTTGAAGTCCCTGTGAGATTAAAAACAGCTGCAAAATGGGCAATAGTAATGAAGGATCCAGAGTTTAGGTGATTCTTTGGGACTAGAGATAAGAAATAGGGGGCAGACAGAGACAGTAGTTCAAGTCACAGAAGGGCACATGATCACCCAAGGAAAGACTGAGGAATAAAGGTGGCTTGAGGGTGAGGAGGAGTGGAAAATACACAGCTTTGCAGATCTGAACTATTCTCTGCTCTCCTGCTGTGGACTGAGTGAGAGATCTGGGTTCAAAATGACTCAGGTTGATTTCTTAGAAATGCACGTGTGATATATAACAAACACAATAAAATTTTTTTTCTCTTCATGGAATCCTGCGGCTCGCGTCAGTGTTCTGTGGTCAAAGGAGACAAACCAGCCTCTTATCACCTCTGAGTCAAATGACTCTCAATTCCACAGATATTTTTGCTTCTCTTAAGAGTCTTTGAGAAGCCCTCAACAACTAGGTAACTTTTCTTGTTCTAGAGAATCCTACTCCATAAAGGTGGACAGTGAAGGGACAGTATAAACTACCCTATGTAAAAGACTCAATCATGGAACAGAGCGTGTTTGGAGCTCTCCAGGGTGCTGCTAAGGACATGATTTGGCTACTATGTAATTTGTGACAGTATTGGTGTAGCCATGATCGAACTCCACATTCTTCCTCATCCTGTTCTAATAAGATCATACTAATTTTCTTATTAAAATTAAGAAACCGTGAAAATAAGTATGAACTCCTTTTCTTTCTCTGTCAAACACAGTGGCCCCTTTGGTAGATGTCTTCCTTGATTGGGATGTGTGCCATTACAGTACAAGACCCCTCAGCAAAGATGTCCCTGAAAATCTCAAGCCATACATCAAACCTGGATCTTTTTCACCTTTCTTTATTCGTTCCTAAAAGATCTAGGAAAGAGACTATAAGACACGTGGTGACATCTACCCTTATTATTATAGTTTTGCCATAGACCAAATTCATGTGAATTTCTATATTCTGACGGAAGATTTGGCATACTAATCTTCACTTTGGAAGTAATTGTGTGTGTGCATGTTTTCTGTGTGGGCCCATGAGAGGGGGTGTATGGAACATTCTATAACAAAGTCTACAGCACTATCCTATGTCCTTGTCCTGTTTGAATTTATAAAACAATTCCTCCCATTTCCTCAGTCCAGCAGTAAAATGCTTTCCACAATCCCCCACACCCTGACCATAATAATGAGCCACCCTTTTCTAAAAATGCTCACAAAGTGTGAAAATGGAGTGTTTGAAACCAAAACTAATTATCTCAAATTACTACCTTCAGTCAGTCACTTTCAGGGCTGTTTAATTAGCAGTCAGCATCGTGTTTAGGATTAATTAAACAGGTGTAAAGGTATATAAAATAAAAGTGCAGATAGAAAATAGTTGTTTGAAATAATTAGGTAAAGGATGTTCTCCCCAAAGTCTTGAGTTTTCTCTCTACAGATCGATGTGCAGGTGAAGAGCATGAGAGGATGTGTCTTTCTTGTCATTCACTCCAGTTTCGCTCTGCAGCACTTGACAGTAGACATTAGGATACACAGATCGTATTCCAAGACAACTTTTCAAGTTTTCATGAAGTCATATCTCAGATTTATTCTGTTGTGGTCAAACACTAAGCCTTTTTGCTCATCAAGCATTTTAATTTTTGTGCCAGCATCCCTAGTATTTCCACTCTTCTCAAATTAAGCCTCTCCTGGCAACCTAAAATGTTTATTTTTCTTTTCACCCTATTAAATTCAGCCTAACTTATCCCTTAAGCCTGAAGATTTCATCCACTAGGAAGAACAATCACAAAAAAATATGATGGCTGAGGAATACAAATAGAGAGGAAGGAGAAAAGGAAAAGAAGGAAACATAACAGAGGGAATAAGGGAAAGCATCCTGCATCAGCTCATCTTTTGTAAGAAGTAACAGTGTAACAAAACTGTCACTTTCCCATCCAAACAATAATATTCAAAATTACATAGCTCTGATTTTACATCCCATTTTACATCCCATGCCACTTCCTAAAATATTTTCTCCCAGTATCTGTAGCCCAATTCCTTCTGTTCCTTGTGAAAAAAGACTTTCTGCTCTCCTCCACTTGGTGATCTTCTACACAAATTCAATATCCAGCTCACAAGTCACCTGCTCCAGGGGGAAACATTCTTTGACTCGATCAGGATCTTTTCTGCTCCTCACCCCAGAGCCTCCATCATGCAACTTTAGAATCATGATTGAGTTCAGACCTATGAGTCTCCCCAGAACAAAGTATCTGTTGTTGCGTATTATTAGATTATTGTTCAATGAATGAGTTGGAATAAATTAAACTGGACAGATAAATTAAACTATGGCAGTAATTTTTGATACAGACTCAACCACATGGTTTCTTTACCTTGCTATCTATTTAAAATTCAGGCTCTAGATTCTTTTCCATCTATGTGTGTATGTGTGTGTGTGTTTATATAAATATGAATTGGGAGGTTGTCTATGACTGTCTCACTTCAGTTCTTACACATTAAACTTTAAGCTGATTTTGGCCAGTGGGTGACAGCAACAAGAGATAGGAGGGTTGGACAAAGACAGAAACCTATGTATTCATTCCACAGCTCTACCTGAGAAGCTTGGTGCTTCTCCAAACTGCCATCCACATCTAAAACTCTTGTCTGGAGTTGAGAAAAAGTAGAGGAGATAATGCATTTGCTTACCTTGCACACAACCAAGACTTTCCTTCCTGGTACTCTCTATGGACCTCTGAGCACTGCTAGGGGTCATTCCTGAGCACAGAGTCACTGATGTTCTCCACTCTTGCTCCCTTACTTTAATCCCCTCGCTAGTCACCTTCCCTTTCTATCTTCTCTTCCACCACCCTCATCATGGTTTCCTTTACTTATCTTTCAATGCCTTAGGGCACGAAATTCCATGCATTAGAAAAATCTACGATGTTTTCTTTTTTTTAATTTCCTGTTTTCTTATATTGAGGTTTAAGATTATGATACTTTTAAAATTTTTTTTCTTTAATTGAGTCACTGTGAGATTATGATACTTCTTAAAATAAAACTTTATTTCATT